CGGGGGTGAGTTAGGGTTTGATAATTAAATTTTAGGGGTGGGGTGGGTGTATACAAATTAATTTTTATAATATTATTATTAATATTTAATTAAATATAAAAAATCTGTATCTATCTATAAAATATCTGATTTTTGAACGTTAAACCATGAAATCTGATTTTGGAATTTGGATCTCCAAAAGTAGGGAATTATGTAGTTTTCACTATTAATAATCATTTATACTAATTACACAACATCGATCTAGTTAAAAACTTTGTTTGGCAAAAAATCGATGAAAAAGATACAAATGAAGAGAAAATGAGTACAATTAATTATAAAACAAAATTTGAATTAATCAAATAATGTCTCGTTAAATATTTATCCGTTCGTAGATGTTGACTACCATAAGCAGTTGAAGAAATATATTATCGATGATTTGATCAGGGAACTACACGCACCTTGTGTGAAAAAAAAAAATTCATAATCACGAATGGCGCAAGCCGCGCAACTGGCTCACCTAACACCTTTGCGATACTTTCGAGGTCATATTTTCGGAAAATTCACAAGTACTATTGTCAAGAGCTTATTCTATCATGTAATAATACGTGAATTTTTAAATAAGCAAATTTTAAAGATAAGGATAGAGTCCTTGAAATGAAGTTTCTCACACATTAGGATCGGTGAGGAACTTTCTTCATTGGTCGTAAGGATCGAAGATGATTGAATATTCAAAAACCTTTGGTTGAAACAACGAATTCAATTTGTTTTTCTAATGATTTAATTTTATCGAAGACCACAACTCTACAAGAGATTTAGCCCTTATTTAGTTTTGTTAAAAAAATTAAATTTTTAATAGATTTTGATAAAAATGGATAAAATATAAGATAAAAAAGTTGATAAAAATTATAGATTTAATAAAATGTTTGATTAAAATTAATTACTAACTTAATTTTTTTTCACCTATTTTAACTAAATCAGAAGGGACTAACGTGCCACATGGTCAATGTTCTTATGGCCTAAATGCTTTACCATATTTTCTCTGCTGATCCCCACTTTTCGCTCCCTCCCTTTTGCTCAAAACTCACATCCACATTCTGCAACACAATCTTCTCTCTCTCTCTACTTCGATTTTGAGCGAGCGAGCGAGAGAGAGAGAGAGAGAGAGAGGAGAGAGATTCTCATATTGCACTGCATTAATGGAATCTCTCAACGGAGCAGTCGAACCAGCTGTACCCTCTTGTAGTCTGGAAAAACAAGGGTGTTTTTCACCACTACAAGAAA